AGACGAGGCACACTGCACACATTACCATTGGTGATGACAGACAACTTTTTCACAAATTACGCATAAATTCATTATCATTTCCACGATTCATAACCATCTACCAAATGTGCCAATAGGAAGACAATTTCGTACCCAATTAATCAGGTTTAATTTAAGCTACACGGCATTGATAAAACTATCAATTACGAGTAACAAAGTTTGTAAAGAAGGATGCTTGATAACCTTTCCCAAGAATCCAGGAGATATTTAGAGGCAAACCAAATTAGGCATATCCTAAGACTTTGTTAAGAAAAACATTTACCAATTCCAGCTACCTTCAACGAAAAGCACAAGATTCAAACTTTGAGAGGAGATATGGATATACAAAATGATGAGAAAAATGTACCAATCTCAATCACAGAAAATCTATGCAATATCACTAAAAATAGGGGAAAAGAACTTTTAGAATATATAAATCCTAGAAAATTTTACAAATTTACAACATTATCACCAATCAAGAGCTCAGATTAAGTTTTCTTAAATGAAGAAAACGATACTACTCCCAAAATTTTAAAACACAAAAACCACCCAAATCATTATCTGAACACTACAAAATTCACCCATAATATATTTTTTTTATCCATCAAATATATAATAACAGTCAACGAGCTTAGCTATTGTTTAAGCATTGGTGGTGATGACCAATACGCTCGATTAAATCCCGTCTATATCATTGTCCTTTATTCCCTTTGACACCACCAATTTAAATAACCTCAATAAAAAAAAATTTAAAAAAATTGAAATTGAACCCAATACACCAAAAATGCCAAATAATTGAAATTAACACCAAAAAAGATAATATTTTATGTAACAGAGCAGAAAATTAAAAAAAGAAAAAACCTGTATTCTTTATAACGATCAAAGGAATCACCACTCCAACCCTGAGTTCGATCAGCAGCCATAACCGAGAAAGAAATCAAACAAAACCCAATCTCAAGAACCCTAACCCCTAAATTCACTTTCTCAACAACTCCCTCTTTCTTCGATTGCCTCCCAATTATATTCTCAACACCCGGAAACCTAACCTTTCTCTCTCCTCCACCCTCCCCAAAACGACGCCGGTTTGCGGTGGCTCTTCTTCCCGGCGATGAAGGTTGACGTTGACGAGATGGTGCGGAGGAGATGGGAAATTACCGGCGTCTTTGGGAGGTGCAGGAGCAGGCGAAGTTAATGGTGAGTAGTACTTTTCGAGTGCTAAGATTGGGCTGCCATTTTTGGGGAAGTCGAGCTCGTTGTCGTCGGATCGGTGGGGTGACTCGGATCGGAGTGGGGACTGGGGTGACTCGTTCGACTTGGGCTGAGTGTTGTTGGGCTTCAGTTGGGCTTGGAATTGGGGTTGGGGTTGGGCTGGTGGTGGTGGTGAGGGTGGTTTGGAAGGTTGAGAGACTGATAATGGTGGTGGGCGAGGTGGTTTATGGTGGGTGTTGTTCTGCATTTTTTAGAGAGAGAAGATGAATGAAAGAGTTTGAGATGGGGTGTAGAGAGAAAGAGAGAGAGGGAGAGGGGAGAAGATAAAGGGTGGGAAGAAGAAGAGAGTAATGTTTGTTTAAACTTTGAAGCTTTTCAAAAGGAGTTGAAGATGGAGGTTTTTGCTGGGTCCCTTGTTTTTCTTTTAACTTGTTTGACACTTTGACTGTTTGACATAAAATTGGAGTGGTCCTAACACCTATTCTGATTTACTAAATTGAACGAAGTGAACTGATTAGAGTTGAATTGAAATTAAGCCGAAGAGAACATTCTTTAGGCTATTTCTTTTAATTTCCCCCTAATATTCCCTGCATTTAATATTAAAATTTTCCCTTAACATTAAATTTTATAATATTAGCAAAAAAAAAAAATAATCTTAATTTAATACTACATAAGTAATTTTTTTAAAAAATAATAAAATATCATATAAAATAAGGATTCCAACTCCATAAACCAAATATACTACGAATTTGACATTCGGTCGCCTTAATTTTACTTATTTTAGGTTTAATAGGTTCAATTTAGGAAAAATAAATTCTGATAAGTGATAATCAATTTCAAATTACATCTAAAATAAGTTCTAAAAGTAATAAGTTTAGATAAGTAAACATGAGGTGAATAGAGCACATTCTTACCCTCTCCTTTCAATTACCTACACATGATTTATTTTCCATTATTTAATGCTCTAACAAACATTTCCGTTCATTTTGTCTCTGCAAAGAGTATAACAGCTTTTACAATTTAAATTTTCACCCAGTGATGAATGATATCCTAATTCATTTAGGGCATGTTCACATTTACTGAACTGATTCGAGCTGAACTGAATTGATTCGAGCTGAACTGAACTGATTGGAGCTCAACTGAATTGAATTGAGCTGAAATGAATATTTTATGAGAGAGGAAAATTAGGAGTTGAAATGAACTGATTGGAGCTGAACTGAACTGAAATTAAGTAAATGTAAATCGACCCTTATTTCATTGATGTAGTTTGAGTGAATGTATATAGCATGAAGGGTTTACCTTAAGGCTTCTTGATGCATTTATGAAATCATAAGGGTATCTAATGCATTTTTACTAACCCCATTGCTCCTTATGAAAATTCCCTATAAATAATTTATAATTCATCAAAAATATTTAAGTTTAGCAAATATAAAAATTGTCAAGAACTATATAGAACATCTGAAAATATGAATAAGTTATTTGTCCTCGGTATTTCCTTTAATTTTCCATCCATATATATTTTGCATGTTAGTCAATCATCTAATTAATCGACTATGAGGAGAACACCTATACAAATTACCTACCAAGTAGTCTATTTAACATCCCTATAAATAAGAATTTAAGTACATCATGGTACTATAAGTAGATGATTATGTGATTTGCAACTCTTTTCACCAACACAATGCAACACGGTTAAGTAAAACACAAATGGTATATGGTACCTTACCTTCATCTTAGACCACATGCTACATTTTCAATAAGCTACATTGTATATACCAAAAGGCACACGAAAGAAAAGCATCATCTTCTTTACTTTTTAGCACTAAAATCCTCTAGTTTTTCCCTTTAATTAACCACTAAAAAGTACAAACAAAAACAAAGAGTAAGAAAAACTGCTTTTGATGTCTTAAATTACAAAAAGAATCCAAAAACCATATTGTTTTGCTTTTCTCTTATTCTTTCCACTTAAGAAGTTGTGACTATTTTTGCATGGTTTCCCACTTTGTAATATAGATTCACAAATCACAAGGTGCTTTTAACAAAGTTTATACCAACTTCTTTTGCTGTGTCTATATATATGATTACACCTTCAATTATTTGATCATTTTTTTTTGTGCTTTACATTTCTTTAGTCTACCAACCAAAAGACCACAAATATCTCCACTCACTCATTCGAGAGGTTGGGCAATATTATTTAGAGTATTGTGTTCAAACTTAGCGTACATTTGAATCCAAACCAAAATAATTCAAAGAGAAATAACAATTATGAAAATAGTATAGTGCACCTGGGTGCACCATGCGCATGGTGCGCCCGGAAAGAACATTAGACATATTTTAAAGAACATGGGCAAAAAAAAGAACATGCTAGTGTTAGAAAAAAGACCATACTCCCTATGTTTAACAAAAGAACATGTTTGTGTTTGACAAGAACATGACATTACAAAGAACATAAAGTCTTTACAAAAAGATCATGTTATTTTTCATGGTTATTTAGGTGTTGAACGTGTTTGAAAAAGAACATTATATTTGACAAAAAAGAACATGTTTGTGTTTGACAAAGATGTAGGTGATCATTGGGTGGGCCGGGCCAAGGTTAAAAAATCAGCTCGCTTCTCGGGTCGGGCCAAATTTTGGGCCGAAGTTTTTGTGCCCAAAATTGTCCGGCCATGCGGGCTTTTCGGGTCGAGTAAAAAAATCAACTGAAATGCATAAAACGCATTCCCAAACCCGCCCAATAAATTAAATTTAAGGGCCGGGTCCGACCCGATTTGGGGGCGAAAAAATTCTGCCCAAAACCCGTCCAAAATCGGGTCGGGCCGTTCTAACTTTGATCACCTCTAGCCAAAGAACATAAAGTCTTTACAAAAAGAACATGATAATACATTAAAGAACATGTTCTTTTTTCTGGTTACTCGAGTGATTGATTTTTTTTATTTTTTTTTTAATGTACATACATTAAAGAATATATTGTATAATATAAAGAACATATTGTATAATATAAAGAACATATAGTTCAAACTCAAAGAACATAATCATCAAACTTAAAGAACATATTATGCTCATGTTCTTTATAAATATATATAATGTTCTTTTTTTGCCCATGTTCTTTTAAATATACCTTATGTTTTTTTCGGGTGCACCATGCGCATGGTGCACCCGGGTGCACCAACCATACATTATAACAATTATTTAAATTGATACAAGACATTAATTTTATCATCTTAGTTTAGAATCTAAATTAGAAATGTATACTTTGTTGAGTTGTTTTAAATATCTCAAGGCAGTAATATTGTTTATTGCAATTTTTTAGGTCAACAACATTCGTGTTGTTGGCCCTAGGAAGTTGCGAAGTTGCCAAATTTATGTTGTTTTTCAACTATAGTGTGATTAGTTTAAGGTTCAGGTCAATTGCTACAAAAACTTCATGTCAATAGATGCCCGCATTTCTCCTCAATTACTCTTAAAGAATCAATCGCTCAATCTTTTATTAAGGGGAAAAAAAAACGTGTCCGGACTTCCCTGTTCAAAAATTAGAAAAGTGTTCTAATCATGACCTTCCTAGATCTTTAAATTTGTACAGTAGCACTCAAAAATGCTGTGGCAGTCTGGCAGAGGCTCCCTGTTACAGATAGAAGGGCTTAAAACATGATCTATTGATAAAAAAAAGTAACATAAAGTAGTGAAAGTAAGCCCAATTACGTGTGACTTTCTAATTTGGAAGCCAAAGTTGATAATATCACCACATAACAGATAAATTGGTAAAATGGTAAAGGTTATCTCAATGGAAAAAAAATAAAAAGAAAGCCCTAATCATATGAAGCTTTTGTATGATACTAGTATATTACATGCCCAATATAACTGAAACTTTTATCACATCTCTGAAAGTCTGAAATCTACCAAAGGGAAAAAGAATTGAAGAGGATAAGTCATCTAAAGTGTATATGAGATTAAAGTATCACACCTTATCATAAAAGCAGTATAGTGTAATAGTTAATGACTTTATGCACATACAAGATAAATAAAGACTAGTGTGCTGTAAAGTATCCAGAGCGCTGAAGATGTCCGCAGATGGGAGGGGAGGAGCAGTAGTCGCAGCAAGGGGGTGCAGTGAGCGGCAAAATTGTTCATGATGTGTACCAAGGCGCAGAAGCAAGGGCAGTCATACCAGCCTTCATGTTCTCATGTCTCTTTCTATATCTTTTTCTAAGCTAAGGGTGTAAATGTAAGACAGTAAAGATGGAAGTCCAATAGCTCACTCAGGCAGATTTAATCTGTTAAACAGAACGAGGAAGCTTTGCTCTGGGACAACATAGAGAAAACCAAGATCTGCTCCTCGGAAATAAGGTCCCACACCCTGCATAATCAACCTCATAAGCAACAAAATCGTTCAAGAGGAAATAGGATGAATGGGCAGTACTTTTGGTTCTCTTTCAAACAATATTCATGGTATAAAACCTATAATAATTACCTTGCCATTCAGTTGAAGAAGTTCACCCTCAACCCACTTGGGGTTCTTGAATCCAAATTCTGCAATCCTTCCTTGCCCTTTATAGCTTGTTACCTTTACAAAAGCAGATTATAGATTAACAAATTTATAATAGTTGACCAACCTGCATGAGCACAAATTTCTTGCACATCTTATGAAAATATTACCACTCCGAGTTCATCTGGATAAATGCTCCGATTGGAAAGACGACTCCCTCTCCCAATTTTAGCACGGAAAGTCACCTAATAGTAGCACAAAACATATAACCAAGGAATATTCATACAGCTAATACAAGAAACAATAGACAAGTAGTCAGAGGAAATGACAAAAACATCAATGGTACTGGGAAATATACAAACCTGACCAGCGGGAACATTAAGGTCTCCAGTAAGCTTAACAGCCTCAACGTATTCGAAAAATTCCATACCTGAGGAGCCCTCTAGTTCATTCCCATTGTTCCAGTGACCAAATTTGCGCCTTAATTGAACTATCTCAGTTCCATAAGGTCCAAAAGAACCAACATATAGTCCTGCATGCCATGATAAAATTGTATCTGAAAACACTATTCCAACTTGAATATGCTATGTTGCTAAGGGTGAGGAATAGCAATCTTTACCATTAAAAGGATCTAAATTGCCTCTGGGAATCTGTATTCTATTAAATTTTGTGAATTCAGAAAGTTTGCTCTTCTTTTGTGCCTGACTGACTGCAAGCTTAACAATTTCACGCACATTCTTGGATACCTAAGGCAGGTGCAGCAGTGTATAGTTAGTCTTCATCTCTTAAGGAGAAAGTAGATAACGGAGATTTCAAGTCTTTTCTTGGTAGGAGTGAAAGCAGGAAAGAAAAAATGAGGAGTTAAACTCTAAGATACAATACAAATTTATCTTTTTACAGGTGTAATGGGAAATAGTTAATGCAGTCTTTAGCTAACCTTGGGTGAAATTTTCTCACTGCCCAAAAATGCCTTGGCAACATCAGAGGGCATGAGATCAGAAACACCTTGAGTTAAAGCAGCTACTTTGACATTAGATGCCATACTTTCTTCACTTCCACGTATACCAGGAATATGTAAAATGAAAGAATCTTTTTCTGTGTCACTGATTTCAGCTGGCGAGCGGATATACTCCTCTTTAGATAAAACATCATCCTCATTATGGACAATCCCACCAACAAAAACCTTCATATCAAGATCTTTCTCATCTTCACTAGAATCGCTATCTCCTTCCATCCTAATCCCATCGCTCTCATCCTCAACCTCATCCAATTTATCAACTTCATCATCATCAGAATTTTCATCATCTTCCTTAGAATCTTCCTGTGTCAATTGCTTCACAGCATCACTGTCCACGACTTGGTCTCCGATGCTAATGTTCATGACCTTAACATTCAGTCCTGGAATTTTATCTTTAAGAAAATTAATCACACTCTTTATTCCTTCCTCAGTAGCCCCTTCAATGTTCAAAATTTTCTCTTCTTGTTTCTCTGTCTTATCTTTGTTAGCTTGATCATCCACTGCAGACGAATTTTCAGCCTCACTATTTGGTGATTCTCTGGTCGGTTTTGGCTGCAAACTAGCAGAGGTCATTTGATTACTTTTAGATTTCTGTAAGTACACAACCTGCCACAGAAACATATCCTCAGTCATATTCAATAAGTTGAAGGGCTCGATTGCACAATTCTCCCCCCTCCCCCCCACACAAAACACACACACACACACACACACACACACACACACACACACACACACACACACAGCAACAAGCCCAAGATGCTTAGCCATGTGGCTGGATTACATATGCGAGCAGGATCAAGAGAAACCGTGGGAAGGAGAGGTAGTGGAGCAGCAATTTCAGAAGGAAGAAGACAAATGCTGGCAGGGGTAGGTAGGATCTTTTTGACAGTTTTTGTTGTGAGAGTGTGTACACATAAAAAAAGGAAGAAGGGTAAGGTATAGGTAGCTTTTGTGTATTGAAGGAATTGTGAGAGTAGAGACCTATAGTCACCTTGTGAAGATTGGTGGTCTCAAGCCACTGTTTGTAAGAAACTTTGCTCATCAATCAAGAAGCCTCCTTTATTGAGTTTATTCCCTCAATCTGCTCTTCTTATCTAAATAAATTTTTCTCACTGTGACTATTGGTAGTAAAAAAACAACAAAAGAAATGTAAAGAAAAGTATAAAAAGAAAAATAGAATATTATAAAATGATTAGAGGTCTCATGCAGGCATAATTAGGTGGATGGGATGAGACAACAGGGAGGTTGTGAAATTTAAAGAGATGCTGAAGTTCCTAGACCCTCACTTTTCTATTTTAGAAAGATATGATCCAAGCGATCTCAATCAATTGTCCATATATAAAATATAAGCACCAACTGTTCATGAACTACACGATATAGAGATAAAATAAATCTTACAACTCACTTGCATTGCATATGTACCATCAGTGTCTTTGACTACATATATTTCAAATAATGTGGTTCCAGGAGAGGCAGTTACAAGCTGTCTGTCATCAAGTAAAAAACCAATAACTATTAGTCATGATTGAAAGCTTCAGTATGTCTTCATAGATTACTAGCACAACGTCTCCTCACCTTGGCGTGTAAGTACGGCCAATGAATTTGCCAACACCAGGAGTGATACGTACAAGCCGGCCAAATGGGTCATCTGAATCCTTTGCATTGCCTATCCACCACCCCACCTGCAATTATACAACAAAGAAAATAAGAAAGAAACAAAAAACTCACAAATATAAATTCACTAAGGGGCTGACACACAACATCCCTCAAGACCACCAAACAGTGTGTTGAGATCTAACCCTTATGTCATAAGTATACATTCTACAACGGTCTATTTTCAAGTTTTAATAGCACAGTCTAGTTTTAAGTTCAACTATTACGCAATTCCAGTATTCAATTGCATGTTTTGGTAAAAATTTGACCTATATACTTTACACTGGAAGTCTTGAAACTCTTAACTACGCCAAGGATTCAAAATTGACAGAAGCAAGTCACTCAATTCCATCTGCAATCAAATCGCTAAAGCAGGCCTCTGTCAGCTTTTGTTACTAATTCAAAGCCCACTAAATTAATTAAACAGTCATCAAGTCAGAAATGCTAACTTATGGCCATCACTCATGATCCAGAATTACAGGCTATATTGTAAGGTCTTTAACAATGCTCATGATAAGAGAAATTTTCAAGCTATCAAGACCACTATCATCACCATTCATCACCTTATATTATGTCTTGTATCCATTATCGCATACTATTTTTATTAAAGTCAAGATTGTCTTCCAATAATCAGAACAACCAAATGCACGCCCCCCCAAAATACCTTTGACTCAATGATGCCCTAGTGAAATACCACTACAATGCACAATTGTTAAAGTCAGTTACTAATCTTTCTAGCCTTCCTTCTCTTCTACCCCTAGTCCCCTACCCTAAACAAAAAACAAGACAAAGGAGGCAAAAAAGGGAAGTATACTCTCCCAGATAAACCTGAATAACACTCAATTGTATGTTCTATAACCTAGGAATCTCAAACAACCAACAAAAATAATTAAAACAGCGGTGACTAAAGATAGCATGACATATTGCCAACATCTAAAGGACATAGCCTAACCGACTATCACATACACACCATAACAATCTCCCTCAATATTTCTTGAGTCATAAGCAAATATGTTTGAGGACAAGAAACATATTCCTTTGGTAAAATTTCACACATTTTTGTCCTGTTCTAGTGCCCCATGAGGGTGTAACCATCCCTTTCATGTATGCCAAGCCTGCAGCCACATAAGATACTAAATGCCACCACTTATACATTAAAAAAAAGATATCAAATCACCAGAATCAACAATCATAGAGCTCAAAATTTCAGAAAACATAACAATTAGCAATACGAAAGTATTTTAGTTGATAGAAATGGGTTGATTTATTAAATGTAAAGCCAAGAGTGAAGAGTCTAGCCTGCTCTTGATTTTACAGTTCTTTTAATACAGCTGAAATTTTTTCTTAAGGCATGTGACCAATTGGGCTAGAGCTAAAGTCAACAGATTAGGAGTGAGCCTTGATCAAGCTACTTGGCTTCACAAAAGCAAATTAAACCATTAATTTCTAGATAATCAAGAATAAGTAGCGTGCCAAACTTCATATTGATCTTCGTAGAAATCCAATATAGCCAAGTAAAAAGCCTACTAATACTCCAGGTACCTACTAATACTCCAGGTTAGAAATGAGCTTCAATTGAGTACCTACTAGTACTAGTTTTTTGCTATATAAGGTAGAAGACAGTTAAATGCTCAAAATTTATATTGTACTTTAGTTGAGTAGCAGTCCAATCTAGCCAAGTAAAAAGTTGAGTCTAGATGAAATTTCCAACCTATCATTGGTCCATCACTACATATTTAATCAATGCCACCTGACAAATAAAGGTCACTAAAAGATTGTCCCTTAGAGAAAAAGAGATATAGCACGGAACAGAAATCACAAATGGCAAGAAATATAATGAACAAATAACTGTAAACTAAAATTACCGTAGAACAGAAAGCATACTATACGTAATGAGCTCCAGTCATTTCACTTTCAGCACTAAGTGACCCAATATAACCCAAAAGCCTTGGCAGCAAGCCATCAAGCTTCAAAATCAAGAATCTGTCCGCAGATTAAATTCTACCCAAGACAATTTCTAATAGGCTTAGTCTAGCACTATCATGGTAAAAGTCCACAAGAAGACACCAACTTACTAAATTAAATTCCAAAATTAAAAGGTAAGGAAGCAAATTAATGTTGCCTTCGATATAAGATTCTAGTTCAAATGAATGAAAGACAAGAGGTGAATGACTTTTAGTATCATGCATATAGCATTCATGGATGCATAGCTAGCAGCTAATTGGGACTGAAGACAGCTCAGGAGACCAAAAATATTACCAAACCACTTCCTGTGCTTCTTGAAAGCATCGAGGCATCATGGTAACGCTCTTCAGCAATTGCATTCTGCAGCCAAAGAACAAAGATCTTGATCAAAATGAACAGTTTTCTGCATGTGTCTCAACTTCAGCGATTACAAACCTAAGCAGTAATGTACCTTCAACTCAGACATTATCTCAGCCACAGTGTCTTTTGAAGTAGCTTCCACAATAGCAGCTTTCAATTTTGCAGCTTCTTCAAAATCCTCCTTTTCAACAGCTTCTTCAAGCTGGAACTGCAAAAAGGAATATAAATGTGTAAATACATGCATTTCTTGAAATACAATCCACCCTATTTAGAAGGAATTGCTGCAAAATTAGAGATCAGTTTCACAATACCAGAGGGTTTTTGGTAAATATTGCATTGTAGGATACAAATAGATTGGGCTCATATGATAGATTTACCATTTGGTGTTTAGTGTACACTCCATAGTAGAAAAGAATAAGATATTTACTATTTCAAAATACCTAATAAGAGGTTCATTTTAAAACATTTGAAGATATATTGTTGCAAACGCCAATAAAAAAACCCTAAAAGAGTAGCTAGCTATTAAACAGTTCTAAGCAGAATCCAAACAGTTAGCAGATGAACTGATGAATTTCACGAGTACTGCTAATTTAGAAAAACCTAATAATTCTGCCATCTAATTGTCAAATTTTCCACCATGGTCTGTTATTTCCTAATGGTAGCTTCTAATTGCAAAACAAAGCCTACGATTCTAGACAGACGGACAAAGCCAGATAAGGATATTACCATTAGGTCTGTTATTTCCTATTGGTAGCTTCTAATTGCAAAACAAAGCCTACGATTCTAGACAGACGGACAAAGCCAGATAAGGATATTATCCTTTATGGTGACAGGATCATTGGCTTACGCTGTTTTTCTTATTCTTGTAAGCCTAAATTGAGTCTAATGAGAGTAAACAATACGGATTACCTAGTAGTCGCGAAAAGAAAATATGAGACAGCATTTACAATCACAAGATGACTAGATCCAATCAAAGTCCTCTCTCACAACTTCTGCTGCCTAGCAGACAACTCCAAGCTTGAATGTATAGAATTCTAATATGACACAAACCTCTTGCAATCATTGCCATCATCAAACTGGCTGAATTCGCCATTGAACCAAACAACAGCACAATGAAACTCCATTCTTTTACCCTATTCTAATGACTTAATTTTTATTATTTCTTGAATAGTATCCAAAATAAGACTAATTGCAGTCACAAGCTTTTTTATAAACAAACAAACAAAAAACACTTCAAACTATATTAGCAACAGGGCAGCACTATCTTCACCCATTCAACAAAAAAATAAAAATAATCTTTTACATAATAATTCAACAAAATTAAAGGAAAAAAATCCCACAAAATTCAAGTAATTCTAATGATTACACAAACTAGGATACAAAATTCCCCAAATAGTAAACAACCCAGATAAAACAACAAAAATCGAAAACACCCAATTGATAAATTTCCACTATAAGCCAGAATTCAAATTGACACCATAAATAGAAGAAAAAAAAAAGGATAAAAGGGTAATAAAAAAGTACCTTAAGAACAGAAGAAAAGCTCTCAGCTTGTTCAATTTCAGAAAAGTGACGATTCCATCGATTCCAATCCCAATCATTGCTACTATTATTGGAATTACTAATACTGGTATAATTCTCATTATTGCTGATATTACAACGGCAACACAAATTCGACAAACTGAAAAATCTGGGATGACCCACAAATTTTCTGAGAGAAACAGTGTTACTGCTGCTGTTAATATGATGTTGCTGCAATTTCTTCAAGAGGAAATTGTACGAAGAAGATGGAGATGAAGATGAAGATGGAGGAGAAGATAAAGAACCAGTAGTTTGGGGAAGAGGGATTGTGCGGCCCATCCCCCATGGGCTCGTCATCGCCATGTTTTCTTCTCTCTCTTCTTGATTGTGCAGAGTGCAGAGGCAACTCTGTAGGATCGATGAGTTTGTTCTTGGAGAGAGAGAGAGAGAGAGAGAGAGAGAGTGAATGTTGTGGGCTTTGGACCTCTTGTTTCTATGTATGTGGATAGACCCTGTGTAGGATTTAATTTTCGGCTAATCATAAGTTGCCACCCCAAGAATGTATGTATCGGATAGAGGCGTAAAAATCATACCCGATTCGATTCAAAAAATACCCGATTTAGATTTTGACTTGGTTGGACATAAAAATATAGCATGACTCAGGTTTTAAAATAGGCATGATCTGACCTAACTGAATTCGATCGAACACATGAATGGACACATCTACTTATTCGTAGTTATACTATCGCGCAACTCTTTTTTTGGTCGATTAATTGGTATTGCTCATTTTTATATTTTCTCATACTTCATTCGTTCTTTCTTTACACAAACCCATTTTTTAAAATCTCTCTTACTTTATCTTATATCCACTCATAAAGGTAGAACAAGTATAAGGAGTATGTTTTATTATGGTTAACCTTAAGAGTGTAATTTGGGAAAACCTTACCACTTTTATTTTTAAAAAGAGTTTATGCATAAATGATAGGAAAAATTGTCAAAAATAATACAAACTTTGAGCGATCCGCTAAAAACAAGTCAATGTTTTAATTAATTCTAAATAATACAAACTTTGAGGGATATCCGCTTTAAACAAGTTATTTTTACCTACAACTTATTTAGCCGTTTAATTTTTTTTTGTTTATCTTATAAAATTGTTTAATAGATTTAAAAAAATAATACAATGACACATGTTCCATATAACATGTTCATGAGGTAACTAATCGGTTTTAACTTGTTTAAAGCGAATACCCTTAAAGTTTGTATTATTAAAAAATAATTAAAAGTTCGACTTGTTTTTGACGGAATGCTCAAAGTTTGTATTCCCTCCTTTTTTAAATACTTGCTCCATGCTAATCTTTAATCACTCATATTTTTAATTATCAATAGGTATAACTTCTAACAATTGAAAATTAATAATCTATTCATTGAGATAATTCCAACAAGTTTCCACACGAGGTATAAATCACAAACATTAATCAAAGTAGGATAAATAAATAGTGCAAAAAATAGAAATGGAGCAAGTATTTAAAAACGGAGGGAGTATTATTTTTGACAATTTTTCCTAAATAATATAGCATGTCCATAGCTACTCCCGTTCAAAAAATAAAACAAAGGTACCATAGTTACCTTATCTTTAAGATTTTTTATTTATTTTTAATCAAGTTATAACCTCGCATAGATAAAAACAACCAAGGTGAATAATCAAACTAGTCCTTTCCAACAAAACCCCTAGCAAAGTATGAGGGAAATTTGTACCAAAAAAATTACTCCGTACTTCAATCTAGGAAAAAAGTGTAACGTTATTGTTAGAGGAAGTGCAAAATGACAAACGTAACCCTCTTGTTAGTCTAATAAATTGCGCTTCATTAAATGGTATATGAATAATACGAGTATGGTTATTGAGGTCTTGGTGGGTCTAAAATAAATAAAAACTTCTAGATGTCAACATGATAAGTGACATGCTGATATCATTGAAGCATGCAAACAATCAAACTCACCTACTGATATTGCGGTATTGACAACAAAATATCATAAAGTCGAGACATTCAGTCATTCTCATGAGATAAGCTATTCACAAGGCAAATGCACTGTCATGGTTTCCTCTTTTTGCGTAGAAGGTGCATACATTGACCTGAATAACTTTCCTTCCAGTTATCCAGGTAAATGAAGCCTGGTTAGCATTATGTACATTTCATTCAATTAAACTCAGGGCAAATATTAGTGCCGATTTCTTACTCGGCAAATCCCTGAGACCAAAAGTGAGTTCCTTCACATATCATTCCCGAATCCCGACTTTATCCTATGAGGCTGCTTTACTTTCATTTCATCTCTACCATAGCGGACAAGCATTTGCAGCTAAGTAAAATGCCAAAAAATTTAAGGTATCTGGAATGCCTTAGTGAGGAGGGGCTGAAGACGGTGCAGCAGCATCATGCTCAGCAGCATAGGGTGAGGGGTTCACACGAGCAAGGCCTGGATTCAGATGCAACCCTCCATTTTCAGCAACTTCCAAGGCATTTTCTGATTCACCAGGTCCAGCGTTTATAGTCCTTACAGGACGCAACAAACCATGTAACCTCAAGCGATGACTTTGGCTAGGAGTTTGGGCTCTAGCATATTGAGTCGCTGTCACAACAGTAGATGAGGGTCGTTCCTGTTCTGAATCGGCACGAAGATTGGATATTGCACTAAGATCAAGGTTTGGAAATACGGAGCAGCGACACCTAGGACATTTCACATTCAGCCGGAGCCATTGATCTATGCACTCAACATGGAAGTTGTGAGCACAAGGTAAGCCACGAACCTGACCAAAAATTGTAGTTCAGAATATACGAAGTATCGAGTCCATAATATGATGATGAGTAATGACTCATAAAAGGTAGGAACAATACATTGAGTTGACTATCAGATTATTTACAATATGTATGATACTGCCTAATAAATCGCTGCAAATTATAGTATGGTAGCAATATGTTTACCTCATTTCCAACGCTGAACTCCTCCAAGCAGATAGGACATTCACTGCAGTCGATTGGAACAGCTTTCAACATGAACTTTGGCAGTTCTTGAATAAGAGCTTCCACTGCTTCCCTCTACATAACAAGGATATTATACATCATTCAGAAATCATATATAAATAATTATCCACCACCATCATCATCTTCTAAAAGCAAGCACAAGAAAGAAACTTAAAAAGAGAGAGAGAGGGGGGGGGGGGGGGGGAAGGAAACAAATGACTAATAAGAGCTAATCAAATACCCACTCTTTTGGTAATAAGAGGGAATGTGGTAGCCAAGACATAAACATGCATGAAAAATAGTACAACCATTATGAGATGAAACTAAAGACAGAAATAGGCAAAAAAAAATAAATAATAAATAAATAAATAAATAAAATAAAATTGGGGAGCTAAAATTCAAAGAGAACCAGGAGGTCTTGACCTGAAAAGTTGTTATGAATATGGTGGATTTTACCATTAATAAAGATCTGGATTTGGTTCTAGATCTGCAAAACTTTTAGTTTCTGCATCATATTTCTATCTCTCTCTCACACTCACTCCTTTTCCTTACCTCCCCTCCCTCCCTCTCTTTCCATATTCTCTGTTGACCAGGTAGAATGGCAGAATGCAGGAATTGTTGTGTACTGTGGTGTAAACAAAATTTGCCAGCCACAAACTGCCTTGCTCCAGACTGCACTTCATTCAATTCTTTCAGTTAGCCAGGTGAAGCAAGAAAACTCATGATTGCAAGCTTATAGCCAGATATAGGTCCAGGACTCTAGAGGCTATGCAGATAGCTGAGGCTTTGATCGATCCTAGAGTTTCACTGCTTCACAAAAGGCTAATTGCTATTGGATGATAGGCACGCACAGAGTTCCCCATGAAAAGCTTCCATAGATACACTCATTAGCGAAAAGCTGTCATGGAACAACACTAGCTGCATGGCATGCCCACACACAAGTCATGGACATGCATTGGTTAGCTCATTCAAAGGACAATTGTTAGTTCAATTTCAGACATTAGCACACACCAATTTTGGCAATTTAGGTTGTGTTATGCCTCAGGGTATTTTTGAACTCATTTTTTTTTATCTATTACGTCAAATTACAGACCTAATGAGTCCATATTTGTGAATTTAGGTTATTTTAGGCCTTGAGGTATTTTTGAACTCGTTGACTTTTGGCTATTACCTCAAACTACAGGCCTAACGAGTTCATATTCCTGAATTCAATCATGCATTGGACTTGTACTTGGCAATTTAACCCAACTCTACAAAATAATTCATTATTTATCATCTCAGAAAGTAAATAAAGACAAACCACAATATCTACAGCACGCAGAATAACCATCACTTATTCTGGAAAACAGATGTCTTTATGAAAACTATATGTCATAGAAATTTCAACTAGGGATAATTTTCAGGATATATAGGATTTGGAAAATGAATGGTACCTGAGCTGCAGTCAAGTAAAGCCCAGGATGGTACGTAGCAGCATCTTGGCCCATGCCTCTCATCTCTTGCCCAACAACTTCAAATGCCCAATCAGGTATACGTATCATGTCGATCAACACCTGACAAATAAGATATTCATAAGATTTTCTACCAAGCATGATGAAGGAAGCAAACAACGTAATTTGAGACTCAACAGAAACCAATCAAGCATGCATATATTTTAAAAAGCAATATTAGAGATTGTCTGTCTTTAACACAAAGATCATTAGTAACAATTGCACAATCCATATAGTGTCAGCCAAGAAACAGGTTCTTATCATTAATTTCTACACTATCTTCAGGCCAAGCCCTCATCTTGGAAACACTTTTCAGCAGGAAAATTACACCTTTCAACATTAAGTTCATTATATTAACAAATTAAGCAAATTTATTATTGTTTAAGATAAAGGACTAATTTGGCGATAGCTTTTGCAGCAACTTTGAGTTTGTTGACAAATCAAAACAACACTTATTCATATATTAGTGTTTGACATAGTAGTGGTGATCGTTGAACACTATTGTTTAGAGATACGATAATATTTTGAAAAAAAACTAAGTTTGCTTTCAGTGTAAAATTCTTGCAATAGCTACCAAATTTAGACTTTAAAAACTAGAGAAGTCATTAAATCAGGTATTGGACTACTTTAACAGTTGTCAAACATTAATGTTAAACAACTACTTTAACAGCTCATTGAGCCATTATTCATGTGCTTACCTAGTAAAACAATTGCTTTTGCCAAACGAGAACATCATACAGCCCAACATGACATCCAGCCCATAGAGTATGCCAAAATAAATGCCATTTTCCATGCCATTTTCAAGAATATTCTACACTAAACACCACCTCCAAGTGACAAAGGAAGACTTGGTAGACGTGTCAACAACTCAACAGTCACACACTCACGCACATACCCACAGTGATAAAATATTACTAAGGCTAAGTTCTCTTAAACTTTTCTAATACAGCTTCTTTATATATGAACATCAATCATAGGGAAAACACACACACACACACACACACACACACACAATTCTGAGTAGTAAAAATAAGTTTTGATAAATTAAAATCTGTTTTTAACAGTAAAAAATCAGTTCAGCAAAATCGCTAATAAAATTTTCTCTATTAATCAACAATATCTATAATCCATTATTAATTTGTAAAGAGTAAAAAAAAATCATTAATTCATTATAATAATTGACATGAAATGCAAGCAAAAATCAGTCATAGTAAGTACTACCTAGCACTAGAAATCAATTTTCAGCAATGAAAATCACAACTGATTGCCTGATTGGTTTTATAATTTGGTAAAAGTATCATTAATCAACAAAAAAAAAGTTATAATTTGGTAAAAGTATCATTAATCAACAAAAGTTGGTTTTATTACCACAAAGAAGTTCTAATAAAAATATAAAGGTTCAGTAGATATCAATTGAAAAAAATATGGCCTCGAATGGTTAAAACTTGAGAGCTACACCAAAAAGGAAACACAAACTTTTGATTAGCCAATATTAGCCAAAAATAAAATTTAAATGGCTGGATATACTTCATCAAAATAGTATATCATCTCTATAATTTTTAGTGAACCAGGGAATTAATTGGTGGAGCTAGGTCATATCAAACATGATAAATAAATCCTGGAGATCCTGCAAAAGATGTCTTTTTCTCTATAAAAAGAGTTACTTAAGCAACAACGCGGAAGGTGAAAATAGCAAATTATAATAAATTTATATTTTACTAACAAACCATTTATCATTGTCTTCACAAGAAAAAACAAATAACACACTAATCCAGAGACGACATTAAACAGGCAAAACTGATTACCCTATACTCCGAAACAGGAATTCCACCCTGGTGAGCTCGGAGCATGTGAGCTTGCCTTCGTGACAGCCACTGTTCACAAGGACGCAGAATGATTATGAAGACTAAAAAGAACAGCTACATTTGAAAATTGAGCAGTATTTTTATTTTATCTAAAACAGCAATGTATCGAAGATGAAAGAATATAAAGACTGAACCCATACCTTTCCAACACAAAAGAAAGCAATGCAAAATAGTCCTGAATAGCTAAACATTAACCATATCAAGAAACCCCATTTTTGACCTTCTTCAGGCAACTGCACAATTAAGAAGACAACTTAGACTGGTTCATGGATTGGGGAGAAACGGAGGACATTTGATAAGGTAACCTACACAATCTTTGGCTTTGGTGAACCACAAGGTGCCGATGACAGTCCATCCCCAAAGAAAGGGATAGAGTAACAGAGAGAGGACTGAGAGAACTGCTACTCTACCACAAAAGCGAGCATACCTCTGCTGCCAGCCAAAGTCCCTAAATTTTTTTACCAAGCATTAAAATTTCAAGTTGATGAGCAAAAAAAAAGTCTTTCAATACGAAATTACGTACACTTCTAGACAGTGATTCATAAATCAATAAGAGAGCTTCACACAATGGTAACAGAATTTAGCAACTAAAGGGGAAAGGGGCAAATAAAAGTATCCACAGACAAGCAATTTGATGATGGAAAATCAAGCTATTCCATAGTTCCGAACAGTCTTAAGGGTAACTGAGAAACAACATTTTCCATATCAACTGCAGCATTTCAATTCTCAACCATATTGATTCTATCAAAACTATGAATTAAAGGCACAAAAAACCAGTTTCTTTACAGGTAAAAACGCTACGAGCACTCGAAAAGAGTCTACAAAATAAATAGAAGAAATGCTTACGGTCCCATTCCAGCCGAGAGTCCATTATCCACAAACATCAAAAGTCGAAACACAAAAATAGTAGTGTAATCAACCTGCCCATCAAAAGTTGTAGCACATTATATCATCAAACATATGCAACCTAGCTTAACCAGAATCGTCAAAAACTCCAGATATATATTACCAGAAATTAACAAGCGAAAAATAAAATCAAATCAAAACCCACCACAATCCATATGTGCAAAGGGTGTGTACAAAGATGGTAGCGTTTCCAGTTAATAGCCACTATAATTCTGAGATCAATATTGTCAAAGAGCACACTTCTTGAATAATAAAAATTGTAAGATAATTGGATAATTTTTTACAATTTTTTTTTTTTTTTTCTAATTGTTAATCAACGAAGAAAAACTCAAATTGACACCAAAATCATCGCTCAATTTAGCAATAAAAAACTCAAATACACTTAAATTCATCTTTAAAAACAGAAAAGATTGAACAATTTAATCGCGCAAAAAGGATACACACTAGTGGCGAGCATCGACAGGAAGAATCCATCATACCTAAAAAAAAAAAAATCAAAAACCAAAATTCATCAAAATTAAACTCAAATTAACAAAAGAAATAACAAAATTGAAGTACTAATTTCCAGAATAGAGAATAACCATTTGAAATCGACGCCTCTGATAGCCATTAAAGAGAAATCAAAAACCCTAAATTGGGGATTTCTAAAGTGAATTGAATTGCATTATATAATACTACCAAAATTTGATTCAAAGAAAAGGGTATTGAATGTTGATCGAATCGAAAAAAAGGAAAGGAGTGCAGTAAAATGAAACGTTCACGCCAAAGTGCAGAAACAGTGATTGAGAGGAAGAGAGAGAAAATTTAGGAGAGAGAAAATGGTTTGTGAGCAGGAGGTTGAACTGACAACTGACTGCTGAAGAAGACTGGTGAAGATTAAAAGAAAATGAAAATGGATCATCTTTTTTTACTAAATAAAGAAAATTCTATATTAGGGAAATTTTGCTAGCAATATGGAAGGTCCTAAATCAAAATTGTAAAGCACTTTAATTATGGATGATCCAAGAGTTATACTCCAAAATGAAATCTTGTGGATTGTAGATTAAATTCATTTTGATGAAGGAATTCATATTTGTTGAAAGTTGACTTGTATGGAGTATAATTTGGAGATATAAGATTATTTTTTCATCTAAGTTGGCTCGCTCACTCGAATTTAGGTATATACAAAGTTTTTTCGTTTTTGCTAACTCGTATAAGAGTCGTCTTGGGTATGAATTTTGTGATTCTATAATTTGTTATCTCTAGAAAGTTAATGTAAGGGCTTGTTCTCATATGTTTATTTTCAGTTTCAGTTTCAGTTCAGCTCCTAATTTCCTTCTCTTATAAAATATTTTTTAAAATATTCATTTCAGTTCAGTTCAGCTCAACTCAGCTCAGTTCAGTTCAGCTGATTTCAGTCTATTAGAACAGGCCCTAAGTTTGTGATTCATATGTAGAGACTTCTAGTTCTATCAAATTGAAATAACAACAATACTTTGTAATTCATACTCTATTAACTTTGAATGGTCATTTTGACCATACAAATAAGAGTATGATTGTATGAGGGATTTATATTAGTATGTAATAAATTTTCATTAGGTATAGTCTAGGAACAATAATAACCTTAGGGGGGACTTTAAGTGACTTTTAATTAAAATGAAATGAAATTTATTACGGTAATTGTTTATTTACTTTTTAATGTGGTCAAACAATCAAAATAAGTATGTTTGGAACATGGCGGCTTTCAAATTGGCCAATCAACTATCTGGTGTAGCATTGTTAAGAAAATTTCTATAGTAAAAGTCAAGAGGAGAGGCAACCAACAAGTACACAAGGTAAGTGAGACCTCATACTTAAGTTGCCTTCTTACTAATCTATTGAAGCGAGACAATTCTCCTAGACTCCTATGAAATTTCCCAACACCCCCCTTGCAACTAGCAAAAGTGTCAAGCAGGGTCGCATTGAGCCTCTTCAAAACGCACGCACCTCATACAAACCGATGTCACAAACATGGTGAGTTTAAAGCAGGACATTTTCAAATGTCCCGGAATATAGCAACTAGCAAGATTAGCAATGATCCAGGATATTGGCACGGTCCTTGGTTAGTGCATAGTTCGACAATGTGTGTGCTTAGGCTACTTAAAATGTTTTCATGAGTTGAGCAACATGCCAACATTCACAAAGTCAGAGAAACTGACCAAACCTCAGAAATCCTTCCTAATTTATTCACATCACTGCACATTGCTTAACAGCCTGTGCTTGTTAGAGCTATTGCGTTTATATGTATGACTTTGTAAACATTTCTCATACACCCGAACCAAGATTTGTCATACAGTTACTTAATTAGCATTCACCCAAGTATGTACAATAGATGTGCAAAAGTTGTATGAAGAAAACTAGTCTACCTACAATTAGGTGGATTATAGCACTTGTATACATTTGATGCCGGTTTCTTGTATTCAGGTATACTCTTTTCATCAACAAATCGCACCTCTCCTGGGCTAAAGGAAAGATCCCTGTGCCTAAAAATCGAAGTGATAGCAACAATAAGTTATAAATCCTAATGATATTAGACTAAAGCTATAAAATTCTTGCTGTCAAAGTTGTGCATATACTAGTATACCTACGAAGATCGAGTCCAACTAAGCCAGCTTGTAAAACTGTTAAATTGTCAGAATCCGGGGACACGATGATCACAGTGTCTCCGGAGTACTGAGTTTCAAGAATTGACATGAGCTGTGTTACACGTACAAACACATCTTCTACACTCTCGTTAGGGGTTCCATCATCAATAGGAGGCGGCTTTATGTTGGGAGATAGACCATCTGATGCATAAACCTGCTTAAGCACTTCAGCAGTAAACAGAAGAGCACTACATAGCAATTCTAATATTATTGTCAATTTTCAGAATTTGGTTTGAAACATTGAAATTAACATGATATATAGTCACATTTTGAGCTTAAAAATTAATCATATAGTGATATAGTTAGTACTATAAAACTAATCATGTCAAACTTGAAAATTGACATTAGAAATACATTTTCTTGTTACTTAAAACTCAAAAGGATTAGCATCAATGTATAAAGTATAAGCACATAACTTATTCAAATGGATCAAAGCCACACCTCTGTAACAGAATCTAGCGCCTTTCCTTCATAAGCCCCTAGCCCTCGAGCATCCAAAAAGCTATACTCAGGCACTATGTGGCTACAACAAAAGCAAAAGAACATCCAAGTCATAAAGGCTAAAAATTTATTACTTAAAGTTATGACCATCAACTTAGGGTTTGTTCTGTTCAATTTGGTTTAGTTCCTAAATCCTAATTTCCTTCTCTCATAAACAATTCATTTCAGCTCAGTTTAGTTCCGTTGTTTTCAGTAAATCGGAACAGACCCTTAGTCACCCATATTTTTACCTAATAATAAGCAAATCAATTAGACTCAAAGTCATCAGTAAGTCCACATAAATCAAATTAAAGTATAGTATTTAGTATTCAATTACCTACGATCAATTTTATTAACAGAAGCAATAACCTCAGCAGCCTGATAAGCTCTTTGAGTAATAGAAGGCCAAATCCAGCAACTCCCATCACAAGCTCCCATTTTCTTTAATTCCAAAGCAGCCCTTACAGTCTGTCTCTTCCCATTCTCCGACAACCCGTTATCGACCGATGTTTTCGCAACCGGGTTTGTATTGATCACCCCCAAGCTTTCATACTGTGACTCCCCTGCCCTCACCAGAAAATACCTTCATCATTCCACAAACCCCAAAAATCATTTTCTAAAATAAATAAATAAAAATTCTATCAAATTAAACTAAAATTACTTAAAATGTATGGAGGATTGAAACAAGATTAGGTAGTTACCTGTTGTTAAGGCGGAATGGGGGCATTTGGAAGAGTCCTCGGGCATCGGCGGCGGGCGGGGGTAAAATGGGAAATTGGGAGGTGAGGAGAGAGAAAGAAGGGGTGATAGAGAGAGAAAGTGAGGTGAGGAGATGACGGCGGTTGAGATTGCTGGAGTCACGTGAGGAGAGAGAAGGGATTGGTGGTTGTAGTTGTGGTGGTGGAGGAAGGTTGAGTTTGAAGGTGGATATTGTTACTGACTTCATTTTTTTGTGTTTTTAAAAAATTGGTTTGAAATTCTGTTTTCTGTTATCTTGGACAAGGTGCTGGTAAATGGATGATAAGTGAAGAGTCAAATGAGATACGGAATTTAACAATTTAGACGGTTGTAATGGTAATGATTTTATAAGTGTTTTTGTAGAGAAGATTTTATGTCAATGTTTATGGTAAATTAGTAATGCAAGTTCCTTATTAAACATTTTATTTTTTCGCAAATTTTCATTATCATTTTAGAAATGGTATAGTGTGGTAATGAATATTTGCGAACAATACGCATGTATGGTGAATTTAGGTAATTTGTTGACATGAGTAATGAGCGTAGAATTTTGTTGCAAAATTACACTGGCCCTGTTTGGTAGTTAGCTTATTGGGGGTATATTAGCTTATTTGACTAACTTTAGCTGATTGACTAGTCAAACAAGTTAATACAAGTGTTTGGTACTAAGCTTATTGAAAGAGTTTATTCCACTAAATAAGCTCTTTTTGAAAAAGCTCATTTTAAGAGCTTTTTCAATTAGCTTATTCATTAATTATTGTGAAATTACACTTATAACCTCATTTAATTTAAAATCTTATCTAAACTACCTACCCCACAATTAGCTTATTGGTCATTTTACATACTCATTCACCTTTAAGCTATCAGCTATTTACAAACACTTTTATATAATCAGTTAATATAATAAGTTAGTCAAATCAGTTAATAAAATCAGCTAGTCAAAATCAGCTAACTCAATCAGGTTCACCTTTCATCTTTCAGCTTTCTCCCAAACATGGCCACTGTGTTCTCAAGCCTTGGGCCAACCAAGTGGTAGTGATGCTGATAGACACAATCAAGATGTTATTGTACTCAAAATCAGAATAGATTGCAAAGTATAGTGGATTGATCCAATATAATTATCAATTTGGTTAAAGCAAAAGTACTTTTGCTTTTACAGAGCAAATTGCAGTTGGTATTGGTATAAGCGCTTTGGGCCGGACTTTGTAGTCATTGATCCAAATGTCAAAACGATGTCAGTATCATTTTAAGTAAGGTGATATAGTTTGGGACTTTAGAGCTAAAAAAGTGTTGTTAATTATTACTCATAGCATTCATATTGAGGCCCGTTAACATTTATTGAACTGAACTGAAATGATTGGAGCTGAACTAAATTAATTAGAGCTGAATTGAACTGAACAAATAGGAGTTGAATTGAGCTGAAATGATTATTTTAAGAGAGGGAAATTAGGAACTGAACTGAATTGATTAGAGCTGAATTGAACTAAAATTAAGTAAATGTGAACAGACCTTGAATAATTGGATATTAATAATCTAGTTATTGAGACAATTTCAACACATACCAACAAAAGTGTATAACTCAAAAACATTGGTCATTATATGTCTAACGAATAGTGCCAAAACCCCAAATGGAGCACTTAAAAAAAAACGGAGGGAGTATTAAATTAAACTCCCTTCGTTTTTTTAATGCATCACTTCAATTATGTGGAGGAGAGTTATTGTTTTAATAGTATATTGTGCAAGTGGTATCAATGGGTAATTAATTTATATTGATAAAAATACATGTGTACCATAAAAGAGATACTTCCTCTGTTCTTTTTACTTGACCTGTTTCTTTTATCACGCTTGCCAATGCAAAACTTCAACGATTAATAACTTTCATTCTCCATAAGTAAAACTTATAAAAGTTATATATGATGATAATACTTCTTGAGACGAATTCAAAATATCCAACATGAACATATTTTTTCCTTACAAATTATTCACAAAAGACGGTCAAATGAGAAGTGGTGAATAGTGTAAAAGTCAAAGCAGGTCAAGTAAAAAAGAACGAAGGAAGTAGTATGTAAGAGAGAATTATTTTTTTAACCATATAAATAGGGACTGTGAAAGATAAAGAAATGATAAAATATTTTAAATTGAGTTCTGGAGAAGAGAGAAAAATAATGAAATATAGTATTAAGCTATCAAATATAGAAGTGATGCATTTAAAAACAACAACCAAATAAGTTAAAGCAAGTGATGCATAAAAAAATTGAGGGAGTATCAATAATTATTTACTTCGTATGATAGAACAGAATAAGTGATGTTAGTCATTCAACAACATAAATTTAAGATAAGGAGCTACAATGAGATTTTTTTTCCCTTGCTTCGTTTAGTTATGTTTGATATAAAATAAATTTTAATGAAAAACTAGGTTTCATGGAATAGATAACTTCAAAGAGAACCAAAATTACAAATTAGTTTATCTTAATTAGTTTGGATCCTTACAAGAAAAAAAAAATTTTAAAAAATAATAAATATAGAAGGCAATGTGAATAATATGGTAGTCGTTTTTCAAACGACTACTGTAAAATCATCCCAATGTGAAGTAATAAAAAAAATTAAAAGAAGGTAAGGAGAAGGAAGGAAAATGTGGCTTTCTTGTTTTGTAAAGAAAAATATTCTCCAATCATTAAGAATGCAAGTTTTCACCATTGCAAAACTTATTTGCCACTTCACAAACCAAATAAAGGAAAATAGAAAAAAGGGAGAAAATTAATCAAATTTGCTGAAAAGTACAGCCAAACTAATCAATCCATTGCGTTGGTTTTTCTGATATCACGATATTATCTTTGAAAAACCAACCCCAAATACCTATTATTTCTACCATTTGATTTGATCAATAAAAGACAAGCTCAAGTTTAGGTCACTCAATAATTGAAGACATGAATTATTTATTAGTACGAGATTCAAAACGATCTAAAGTAAACATGTTGGTCCACAAACACCTCAATATTTATTCTCCAACACTCATGCATACTCATGCATGAAATGCATTACATACATAAACTTCTAAAAGCCACAAGAAAACTGAAACCTAAAAAAAAAAAAAAACACCAAATTTGCAACTCCTAATGATTTTCTCTCTTGTTCTTTGAAATAAAATTTCAAAAGAACATAATTTAAACTTGGATTTTCATATGTAAGCAATTGCAAAACAACTTTATTATTGAAGCATAAAACTCGGTACAATTAATCACATCCACCAATATAAATATAAACAATTGGAAAAAAATGGATTTTCCAATTGTTCATTCCTGGGAAGTGAAAGAAGCAGATAGAGCAAAGGCCTTCTCTTTCCGTCCGCTCTTCCCGAAGTGAGAGATAAAGATCTTAGACTTGGTGACATCTTCTTCTTGAGCAACTTGTTGACCTCATTTGCTGTGCTTGCACCTACCATGATTTACGCAACAAAGTTAGATTCATTATATTTATTGAAGATTTGTCTACATATCATAATAATTAATCTTGTAGTCCGTCGCATTAATTATGTGATCCTTATTTATTTTGAAAACGACATCTTATAAAATGTGCTAATTAATTATTCAAAGACGTGGAAAAAAGGGGGAAGAAATACTTGCATAAGAATGAGACTTATTAAGGCTTGAAGGTTCCATGGATGTATATTAGATATAGCGGTAAAAAAATTCTAATAATACTTGTAAAAATACATAAAAATAGAAAGTTTAATGACCTATAAAAATCATCATATTAGTAATATAGATTGGTTCAGAAGTTTATAATTGTCTTATATTTTTGTTTTTGCTTAGTTGTTGAGCTTCATATATATATTTTGATTAGGTTGATTTGTTATATTGGACTTTTTCAAAACTTGATGTTGTTAGGAGCCCATCCTTGATGGCTTGTTTGTGCTTATAGTGTTGTATTTTTATTTTTCGTTTTTGATGTTAATAAAATTTTGCTTACATACCAAATAAAAAATAAATCAAAAATTGAAAAAGCCCTTTAATAAAATATGACCAAATTAATTATTCATGGACACACAAAAAAAGGGGAAGAAATACTATACCCGCATAATAGGCACCATCTGCATATCCAAAAAGTTCCGCATGTGTATGCTCTCCGGTGAAGAATACATTTCCAACCGGAGCCTAATACATGTGTACATACAAGATCAGTAATTATTTCAAGACTACATATAGCAAAACCCTTTAAAGCGAAGTATATATAGACAAAAGTTACCTTAAGGTTGTTATGCTTTTCAATTGAGTATCCAACAGGCCAATTAGTGAAAGTGCCCCTGTATAACCTATCAGAATACCATCTAGGGATCATTATATCAGTAGCATCAGGAATGTCATCTCCAAATATTTTACGCAGAACTTTCATTGCTTCGGCTTTTGTTTTCTCATCTGGTTGTGCCTCTATTCTTTTTGACTCGTCGTCTGTTACTGTAACGAACATAATGTTGGCTCCAGGATGCTCCATTTCTAGTTGCTGAAATTATACGAAGTCATACATATATTATTTATTTTTCAGGCACTTAAGTTAAAATAATTATACTATCTCCGTTACAGATTATGTAACGATTACACATTTTCCCTCTCTTCTTTATGTTAAATCGTTGCACATAATCTGTAACGGAAGTAATAGTACATTAGGTATTAATATTTCACAAAATGTATGTACCTGCCAAATTGCATAATATCCACGCCTTTCATGGACATAATAGAAAAACTCGGTTCCTTTGCCAGTAGGCCAGAATTTCTTAGGGAACTTGAGGAAGATCTTTGTGTATACACCTATGCTAAATTCATTAATGGCCCGCCTTTTCCAAAACTGCATTTCATTCAAGCTGATTTAGTATTACCGGAAACACACGTAGTTTTACTTAGCTAAGTTATGAACTACTTACAGGTAATTGTGGTTTAAAAGTAATGAGATCACTTTGAAGAACACCAATACTTGGAGATAAAATGACAGCTTGGCCTGTGTATACTTTGCCGTCTTCTGTTTTAATTGTCACTTTCCCTCTCTTTGAGTAATCAACCTCTGTCACAACCTGTTAAATTGAATTCACGACAAATTAATGAAACTTTTATTTAAAGACGAATGAATGGAGTAATTAAGGGTCTGTTCTCTTCAGCTTAAATTCAGTTCAGTTCAGCTCCAATCAGTTCAATTCAGTTCCTAATTTCCTTCTCTTATAAACAATTTATTTCAGTTCAGTTTAGATTGGTGATAGTTTGAGCTTTTTTAAGCTTCAACAATGGTAGACAACCTCGGATCTTCTTCGGCTGCTACTTTAGATGTGATGTGAAGAGATTTGGCTCACTTCACAATACTAGCCTTGACCCCCATTGACCTCGGCATGTGTTGCCTAGGATGAAATGGTGAGTCGTTCTAGTGGTGGAGTTGTGAGCCTTGAAGCTTGTGATGAAGACAATGGCAATTTCCTTCGGCAAGCATTGAATTTATATAAACTTGATTGATTTTTTATGTATGTTTCATGCCACCTGCTGCCTCTTCAACTTGGTGGTGTGAATGAAAGGCTTGCTTTTGTGAGCTTTCCATTAGAGCCACGTAGATCTAGCTTTTATTCTTCTTCAAGAATAATTAAGTTTTGACCATATTCATGGAATATTTCCCAATTTTTTTTGTAAAGGCACGAAGTACCTTGTTAGTAGTGGTTAGATTGGCGACAAATCAAAATGTTTATCTATCATCTCCACCATTTGCAAGAATGATTACCCCTTTTGACAGGAGTAATAATTTTGGGTTAAATTTGCTAGAAATTTTGACCCTTTTTCGTGATAGAACACAGTAGCCATGAATTAGTGGATTTTCATGGGTAGTAGTACTCGTCTCCCCACAGACGGCGCCAAATTGTTTCGGCAAAAAATGAGCTAACCGGGCCTTGGAGGGGTGTCTGAGAACCTCGAATTTGGGCCTTGAATGGACCTGCAAAATGAACCCCGAGCCTCGGGGGTTGAACCGGGGGCGGAGCCTCCGACGCCCAAGTTAGTTGCCAAACAATGCATATTTTGAGAGGAGTTTAGGGGAGAGAGTGGAGGAATATGGTCATCTTAGATGATAAGAGTGACCCTCCCTTTACCTTATGCCCTTTGAGGGGTATTTATATGAGTACATAAGTGGGTTTATGAGCCCTAAAATTACATATGTGGGCTGTTGAAGGCCATATTGATGTATTTGACTTATTTGGGGCCTTTTATACCTTTTTTATGCCCTTTGGGCTTATATGGGTAGAGTTACCCAAAACTAAAATGGGTATGACCATTTTAGTACCCAAACACAGTATACCACTTTAACACAACAATAATATAACAGTATAAAACAATGAAGTTAGTACATATATATTTACCTATCAATCGACGTTAAATGTTTAGGCTTTGTTCTCTTTAACATAGAGTTAACTACACCGATGACTCTATATATATTAACAACAGCAACAAAGCCTTAGTTTCAAAATGATGACTCTATAGAAATTTTTTTACGACGACTGATCTACTTACTCTTGCTTGTAGGTGTTATATGAGACATTGCTGAAGTCCGAGTAAAAGGACTTGAGCTTGATTTGCTTGGCGATCTCATACATGGGATTCTTAAGAGGACCTTCGGCGCCGTGAAGCCAATTGGCTCCCTTCTCAACAACATAACCTCCAAATTCAGTCTTGTGAATCCTACCACCAATCCAACTTGTTGCTTCCAAAATGATAAAGTCCTTGATGCCTTCATCATGTAGTTTCTTAGCTGCTGAAATTCCTGAGATTTGTAGTAGAAAATAAGGTGCATTAATAAAATTGAAACTCGTATGTTTTATTAAAAAAAATAATAAAAAAAATAAAAATAAATAAAAAAAAAAAGATTGTTTAATAATACAATTTAAGTTAGGTAAAATTAATTTTTGTTTGGTTTCAAAAAAAATAAAAAAAATAATAATTTTTGTTTAGTAAAATTAATTTAAATTCAGTAGAAATAATTTAATCATTTCAACAAAAATAAAGTGAAGTGAATAGGACCTCAATTTTTATTTCATTTAGGGTCTGTTCTCATTGACTGAACTCAGCTGAACTGAACTGAACTGAACCGAGCTGAACTAAACTGAACTGAGCTGAACTGAACTGAATATTTTATAAGAGAAGGAAATTAGGAGCTGAACTGAACTGAGCTGACCGAACTGAACTAAACTGAACTGAACTGAATTGAGCTGAGCTGAACTGAACTGAACTGAATTTCAACGTAAGAGAACAGACCCTTACTCTCAATAATTCTCACCATTTCAAAAATTAGATACACATTTACATAATTATTTGTGTAAGAAAACAGTCTTATATAAATTGGACTTTTGTTAATTTTATTTTTGGAAGGCGGTCAATCTTACGGTAACTTTAACAATAACTTTTTTTTTTTTACACAAACTTTAACAATAACTTTTATAATAACTTTAACCCCCTTAAGGCTAACATTTAATCTGTAATGAGTTTGATTGTTTTTAATCTTTATTTTCTAATGAAAACATCTTATAGAGGCTAATATGATTAACCTATTACATTATGAGTTATTTTAATTAAGTGTAAAGTTTACAATAAAAAAAATTTAACTTATATATATATAATAGATATAAGGAATAGGTAATAAACATTATTAAGTACTTTTAGGATAACTTTAACCCGTCTAGCTTCCAATATAAGTTAATGAAACTCTGCTTTATTTATGAATTTGAGTAAGGATTTTCAATTTGTAATTAGTGGCTCAATTATAAGATGAAATATAATTAATAAAATCATTTAAAACTTAACTAACTTCACCTCAACTCCTCAAGTGGTGCTATCATGTTTAATGATTGTACTATACTACTATTATTATAATAAACGGAGTATAATAAAACATGTATAGGTTTTACTTCCCTTATACGGAGTATATAATACGTCTTTAAATGTATAGGTTTTATTTCTCTAGCTAGAGATTTTTAATCATTGAACTGTATTGATTTATTATAGAATTTTTTTTTTATAATTTTACACTATAATTATTACTCCAAATTTATGGCATGTTCTGTTCAGCTTAATTTCAGTTTAGCTCAACTCCAATCAGTTCAATTCAGTTCAATTTCTAATCTTCTTCTCTCATAAATAATTTATTTTAGCTCAGTTCAGTTTAGTTGTTTTTAGTAAATCGAAACAAGCCCTTACTGAGAATTTTTTTTAAAGCTCAAATTTTACTTTAAAATCATAACAATTGTGCACCCATAAACTTGTATAAATAATGCAAAAGGTATATATATATATATGGTAACATATAAAAAACACATGAAGTAATAATAATTAGCATAGATTTAAAAAGTTAAAATAAAGTAAGTAAAGTCCAGCAAATATATAATGAGAAGAGCAAAGCTTAAAATAGGATATATAAAAGAAAAGGTACAAGATCAATAAAGGCAAATAATTGCGTGCAAGTATGTAAGCACAACCCTAATCGACATCGAAATAAATAAAGTAACATAGAACTAGGTTAGTTATTGGTTAAAGTCTTAGGGATAGTACTAACTAACTACTAAGATTGAGTCCCTCCTATGTTCATCTGGAATCAATTTTAATTTGAGATTATAATTAGACTATCAATTGTAATATTTAGGTACGGATTCAGATCCAGCTAAGATATATAATACAAGTACATAATTATTTTTCTTGTATATATGCGGATCGACAAAGATATCAATATATGTTTCTTTACATAAACAATTTATAATTCTCCATACAACACGTAATATAGATATTGATATAAATCAAATATGATTAACAATTATGTATAATGTGAGGTGTAACATTTTTAAAAAGGTTAGTTCGTTCTGTTAAAAAGAAATGAAAAACACGTGTCTCACCGGACATTCCAGCTCCAACAATGATGACTGAAGGGGATGAAGAGGCAGAAGCAAGATTAACTAAGAATATCATGAAGATCAAAAGATGAAACTTCATTGCTTCACCCTTCATTTTTGCCCTAGAAGAAAACTTTTAAGAAAATAATAGTTTTTCTATTGTAGAGATATAATATATAAAACCCTAGAAAAAGAAAAGTGAGGGCAAATTATTGTAGTAACGGGCTATAATGTATCTATATTTATAGGCCACTTGAAAAATTAATTAATTAAAATGTAAAAATGAGGTGGAATTTAGAGTTAGACGTGGCACTGTGTATATTATTACAATTATTTCAATAATTTAACAGTGAATAATGACACTTAAAGAAAATATTGCATGTTTTGATATGCAAATTATTAATTCATTAATATTTCGTACTATACTACTGTAAGTAATTTCAATTATGTCTCCGGAAAAGAGTTTTGATGTGCCAATCTCAATCATGGATGTGAAATTTAATTATGAAACTTTTTAATTTGCAATTTGTCATTGGAGTACTAGTGATTTTCTTAGATTCGTATTTATGTGTTTGAGAGTTAGTTTTAATTTAATTTGTAATGTTTGTCATAGAAATTGACCCATGAAAAGGTGGTGTGAAATAAAAAACGGCAGATGAAATCATGAAAATTTAAGAAATATCATATCTTCTCAATTAAACGACCTTGTTATTCTGTGTCCCAACATTGGTGTACTAGAGAGAGTGACCTTATTGTCTTCGAACTTAATTAAATTTCTTGTAAAATTGGAATTAATTTGTTAAAAGTAATACATTCGTTTTAAAACTAGGTTAGTCTCGTGCATTGATTTAAACAATTTTTTTTTTTTTTGCCTTATTTAATTTGATGTGATGCATGTATATGTAATTAAGAAAAACATAATAAATCGTGTGATCTTATTAGATAATAAATCGTGTGATCTTATTAGATAATCGAGCTATAACAAAATATGTTATGTTAAATACGGAGTAGTATTATAATCAAATATTATACAACATACTTCATAATTTATATAAAATTTAAACTTATTTCTAAGATGTTAGCATTATTTTACTAGTTTATCTTTCATTAAAAAAAAAAATCAAGGAACTAATAAATTCCAAAAACATACAATTGCTATAAATGTATAGAGTAGCTATAAATTTTCGGATTGCTTTAGAATGGCCATATTAATTTTGTAGCTAGTCACGGTAATTTTTGAATGTGCAACGTTAATATTTAAGATTAAATCAATCCCTTTGTTTGGTTGACTAGATATTAGTTTTAAATTTTCTTCCTCCTATTAATCTGTTTGATTTTTCATCAATGTCCTTCAATTCTTGACAGTTCTTAACATTCTATTTTTCTTAAGATTTCAATATAATTGGAGACCAATTTTGTCGATTATGGTTTGAGTGGAGAAAAACATTAGATTGGTAAATAATTGTTTTTCATTTGGAGGGATGATGATTGAAGATTGGAAGACCTTATATACTTGATCCTATCTATGTTAATTTTTTCTCCATACATATTTAATGGAGATTAAGTTGAAGGTTGAAAGTAGGATACATATAAGTTTTTTTTATTTTTTTATTTTTTATATGGTGTGTCATTGAAAAGTCATCCATAAATTTTAAATACTAAATTTTAGACTCTATACTTCCTCTGTTTTTTTAAGTTGACACCATTTGACTTTTACACTATTCACAAATACACTTTGACTAGCTTTTGTGATTTATAACTACGATAAAATATAGTTAAGTGGGATCTTGTTTGAATCATCTTCATGTATATTTTATAAATATCCTTTTATATATATATATATATAATTTTAGAATATCAAGAATTAGAGATATTAATCGATAAAATAATGTGTTGACAAACATGATAATAAAATAACGTGAACTAAATAAAAACGGGGTAATACTTTGTATTTCACAACTCACTCGATCATACAAGTAAATGTTTATTCAACTTGTACCTCCATAACTTAACAGTGCACTACCTCCACTAGGCCGTTATTACATTACCAAATATTCCAAAAAACATTTAAGTTGTGATTTGACTTGGACCAACCGCAACCAGTTAAAGTGTTACACTGTTACATGATTATGTACTATGTTGATTTCAACTCTATATATACGAGTACGACGTACGAGTACAATTAAATTTGATAGTAGAGTCGTAGTTGTGAAGAAAGACGTACTTCCTTCATTTTTAAATACGCTCCATTTCTTCGTATGCGGAATTTTAGGAAAAATTGGAGAAAGTAAAAATATGAAGGGTTGGTGGAAGAATTAAAAATTGTAAAAATACAAAAGTAGTAGAGAGAATTGGTGAAAAGAGTATAAAATTAATAAAATATATTTATATTGGGTTTACTAGTTGGGAGAAATGAATTAAATATTACTCGTATAAAAGCTTTCAAAATAAAAAAATAGAATAAGTATTTAAAAGTGGTCGAAAATGAAAAGTGGAGTAAATATATAATTGTATTTAAAAACAAAGTGAGTATTTAATTAATTGGACTACCTGGAAAAATCCACGCGAGGGTTTGTATGAAATGAATTGTAACCACACAATTTCTATCACATTAATTAGTTTGGGACTGAATTCATACCATCTGTCTGTTCCTACATGAATGGAATTGATTGAAACAAATCTATTGTTGGCAACTAAAGGAACGTCCAGATGTATCTTGCAGTGAAAGTACAAGTGTGCAACTAGTTTTACTACCTCCGTTACGTATTATTTGCGACGATTTGATATAAAGTAGAGAGGAAAAATGTCTAATCGTTGCAAATAATATGTAACGGAGATAGTATTACAGTTAATTTTTGTTGTTTTTACTACTCCGTAGTATATTTTTTTAATAAAACAATATATGGTGACCGTGTAAATGAAGTTTTCCTCATGATTTCGGTAACTTTTATAGTACAAATAAAATATTTACTGTAAAATTTCAAGCGGCGGTTAATTTTATTTGTTCTAATATTAATATGTAATCTGTTTGTATCTTTTGTAAAAATAAAATAAAATAATGGTTAGTGAGAACCAGGCCATTATGCTCCAAAAAAAAAAAAAAAAAAAAAAAAAAAAAAAAAAAAAAAATACAGACCATTAAAACATTGATAGTAAGACCCTTTCTTATTCACTTAGTTTTTACTACTCCGTATTTCACTAGTGATTTTACTTTTTGAGGATTCAATTCATAAAAGAGAATCGGGCCTCATTCGTCGTCGAAACAACTTCAACGGGAAAGATTTGCTTTGCGTGCACCTTAGCGTGTGAACTATTTTTTATCGATTAAAGTTAGTTTTAACTAAAGAAAATTGCTGGCTTAAATAAAATTTATTATATATACCCGGCTGTAAGATAAACTCGGGTAATATGATCATTAATTTTTTGCTCATTTAATAAACAAGCAAAAATATTCTGCTTATTTATTGAATGAACAAAAATTAATGAGTAAATTACCCAGGTGTACAAAACAGGCTCTTGGCTTAAAAAAAAAAACTAAATATGTTGCTTAATCGATTACAATAAGTATTGTTTTGTAAGATGCATGATATGACTAAACAAAGCCTATATATAGATTATTGTTGGTTTTGCAAAGTGTACGTTGTGGGTTACGACGATAGGTGATCGGAGAAGGGTTCTTAGCTTAGAGTACGCGCGTCTAGAACGATCGATGAAGAATTACAGATTTCTTCAAGAGTGAGGGCATTGAACAGTGCGTCTTAATAATGTTAAGGAGTGTTAGGTTTTCATGGTTGGTCGTTAGTTATTGTTATCTTCATTTTGGAAAATCAGATCAGCTGTTACTGTTAGAGATATTTTCTTAATAGTTTTCTGTGTACGTAGCTCATTTTCGGCCTTTTTTTCCAAAATTTACTTAGTATATACGGAGTAGTAATATAGTTTCTCCGTTTCCTTATAGTTGCAACAAACACTTAATCACAGTATTTATAAAAGTGTACCTCATATGATATAATACACTTTAAATGGAGTTTAGAGGTTGTTAAGAGTATAATCAAGTAGACCATGAGTTTTAAATAAAGCTAATTGTACAATTGTTACCGTAAAACCCCTCCTTTTATATTGTTGTAATTATTGTGACATTTTCATTTTTAGAAAAGTATTGCAAATATTAAGAAACGGAAGCTGACACTTTTACTCAAAATTAGTATTCTAGTTTAGAATTTAGCCAGCAAGACTACTCTTCATGGATTTGGAAATTTAAGGAAAATATTTCCTAATATGGTTTATGGTTGACAAACAGGAAATACAACACCAAGAATAATAAGCAAATAATTAGAAGGAAAAAATTACACAATTTGAACGATAAACAATTAAACAGGCTTAACTTCGAATGAAGTACGTACATTATGATTGTGCATGATCGATCTAGTACACTAGTACACTACACAACCTACAACCTTATCTTTAGCTTGTGGTGTATCACTATCACTTCAGTAGCATAATAGACATTCATGTTTTATTAGCTCCACTTGATTTTTTGTTGTTTCATTTCGTTTTCACTTTAATTTGTCCATATTTATTTGTTCCTACCGGACTTGAATTATACCTTTTTTTCTTACTATGTATTTATTTGTTCATACATATTTGTACATGATATAATTTTAAACCTAACCTCGAAAGAAAAAAAGAAGAAAAAAAAAAAGGTAAAGGGGAGGTATTAGTAAACCTTTGTTTGATTCAGCTTATTTATTTTAAGACATTACTTGCTAATAGTAAAATGCACAAAAATGTAGTACATTTGATAATTAATGGTGCTTATATTAAATTGTCTTTGGTATTTTGAATTCTTATTACTTTTTTACTCATTTGATTAGCCAGTAAAGTAGTACTCCCTGAATCCCTTTATTTTTGGCCCATTGTTATTTTTTGAGTCAAAATTTGAAAATAATTACCGTTAATCTATAAAAGAAAATATAGTAATGAACAATCTTGTTAGATTCGTCTTATTGTATACTTTATGACTACGGAGCATCATATTTTTATAATTTTTACGTATAAGGAAATAAAGATATAGACGTTTTAAGACGTGTCTTAAAAACCATGTATAGTCAAATGGAGAAAAAAAAATTGGGATATAGGGAGTAATAATGACGATATAAAACACAAAATTTATGGTCGATCATATCATAATTTCTCAACGTGGACCATGC